AGGAAAGCTATTTCACTCAAGAAAGACATATTAACAAGTAAAAGAGGAGGTAATTTATTGGGCATTTTACTTCCTATAGCTATAAATTTCATTTCAAGGCTATTTAATAAGGAATAATGAAAGAATTCTATCTTGTACCACGAAAAGCTATTGATCAACAGAAGCCTACGGCAGTAAGTGTTGAGAAGCCTACGATGACAGTGAGAACAAATCCTGTTATACAACACTTGATAGACTTAAGATTAAAGCTTAAGGATTATGATTTTGCTGTCTCCTTGTTAAATTATTTTAATACAACTGGACTTGTAAAGTGGGATGAGGAAGGGAACATTACATCTCCAGTTACTGGGCTCAATATTGTTGATGACGTTATAGGCAGGATGTGCACTCCGAAATTGTTATTCCCAGAAGATAAACTGCCAATTGCAAAGTTGTTCTACTCTTTGACATCTACACCTAAGAATTTATTTAGAAATGTAGATGCGAAAAATCAAGTGTTTTCTCCTCCAAGTTTGAAGAGGAAGATCAAGGTTGTAGATGAAGGAGAGTCTACCTGGATATCATATTAAGGTGAGTTTCTGTTTATTTTTATCATTTACTATTAGTCTACAGGATGGATAGTTACGTTATATATGCAGCGAGTAACTCTGATACTGATGTATTTAAAAACAATGCTCCCAATGCTTTTGAAAATAGATTACATAATCAGCTGCCTTTAGACCCGAATAAAGCTTATGAAGTGTGCCTGAAGAATATATTCCTGCCTCCATCTTATTTCGCTGTTAGGAGGAATGACCCGGAAAGTTTTATTTCAGTTCAACTTCTAGTGTCTAATAAAAGTTTATCTGATTTGAGTACGGTGAATACATCTTTCACTTTAAAGTCGGATATTTTAGCCAGTGATAATTGCATAGAGCTAACGACTATTTTAAATAGAGAAATTTCTACTATATTTTCAAAAGGTTCACTGAGTTTTATAGGACCCGTACTTAATTATAATTTCCCAGATCACGGGGACGTTTATATGAAATATGATTCGAGTATTAATCGAATTAAGTTTAATGCAGCATTTAGTGAGAAGTTGTTAAAATTATTTATTACAAAGGATGGAAAATTAGTTGTTCGAATTTCTTTATCTTTCGGTCGAAATATATGTAAAGTTATTGGAGCTGAAGTAGGTAAAGCCTATGATATTTTTATTATGAATAAGCCACCTAATAACAGGTTATTTGTACAAGATACTTGCTATTATCATCCTAGGCCAGGAGGCCGTATAGATTTCTTGTGTGTATATTGTGATAAGGTGCAGCCCACCATGTTTGGTAATCAGATTGTAAATATCTTGGATGTTGTTTCGTTTCAAAGTAATGTAACACACAGGAAATTATATAAACCTTTAAATACGACTAATATTGATGGCATCAGTATTAGATTAACAGATCAAGATGGGGAGCCTGTATATTTTGAAAAGGATGGATGTACGATTGCAGTATTACATATTAGACCCGTTGATATATAATGACATGAGTAGAGGGAGTTTATCATTCTCTCTTGACCTGTTTAAACATGAGGGTCGGGTTTGTACCGCTGTCTGTTGACGAGGTAGAGCGATTTATCGCTCCTCGAGGGAAGAGAGGTGGAGCACTGGGCGATATTACTGTTTTTGATAGAAGACATTTAAGAGGAGGTGGAATATTAAGTTTCTTAACTGGTCTAGCTCGTAGAGCAACTCCTTTCCTATTAAAAACTATCATGCCAGCAGCATTGACAATGGGACAGAATGTTTTGCAGGATATAAATGCCGGTCAAGGTACTTTGAAAGATTCAATTAGAAAACGAGGTATGGAAACATTGAAAAGTATAGGTCCTAAATTGTTAGCAGGTGGCCGAATAACGAAAAGAAAAACGAAAAGACCTGCCTATATAAAGAAAATGGATAGATATAAAGACGTGTTTTCATAAAAACAGTACTAGTTGTATGCTAGACGCAGACATGATGAGTGTAAATGCTCCTAGTGCAGCATTGCAAGTTCCTTTAGAAAATTATACAGCTGCTATAAGCGATGGCTTTCCTAAAGTTAGTCCCCATAGAATGGTTGAAAGTACGATATTTTCAAGACAGACACAGGATATTTTACCTGTGAATTCAAGTATTAACAATAAATTTAAAGATTCATATATTGAATTTCGTATCCCTGGAGTTAAGGGTCAATTTATTGATCTTTCGAGCTTGACGCTAGAACTGATGGTTGAATTAACGGGGCCTGACGGAATTACGGCTTTAGCGGATATTAAAAATGCATCAATAGTTAATGGCTTGTCCCAGACAATGTTTAAAGCTGTAACTGTTTATTTAAATGAGCAAGTGGTGGAAACTAATTCACTATTTTCATATTTATCATATGTAAAGCTAATGACGACGCTTTCTGAATGTAAAGCTGAAAGATTTAAAGAACTGACGTATTTCTATAATGATGTTTTCCCTGAAAAATATGATGTAGATTATTTTAAGAATGCATCCGAAGACCTTAAATCTAGATTTGTAAAGTTAAAAACTGAGGGAGTAAATTGTTGCTTTAAACTGCTATTGGACATTACAACTTTGAGCGAATATCTTTTGGATGGAATTGATATTCGTTTGAGATTAGAACTTAACAGTGATCCGTGGGTTATAAACAGTATTGAATCTGGATATAAGTTTAACATAAAACTAGCTAGAATGTGGATTGATCGGATAACTCCATTTGCATCTGGATTGGAGGCTATTAATAGAGCTCTGGCTGAACAAAATACGCCAGTTACATATACGTTTGATAAGACACTCCACAAGACGTTCATTCTTGGTAATGGGCAGCAGAGATTAAGTATTGACCAGCCATGGGGGAGCATTATCCCAGATAAATTATTTATTATGATGATGGATATGGAAGCAATATCAGGAGCGTATACACTTAATCCACTTTATTTCGATCACTGCGATTTATCTAATGTATATATTACACGTGATGGGACAAACTTATTTAATATAACTTGCAAGTTCCCGAATAAATGTTCGAAACTATACTACGAGACTCAAAATACAGTAGGCTTTAATGCTTGCAATACCTTGACATATAATTCATTTATAAAAGGAAGAACATTACTGGCATTTAGACTAACGCCTGAGGAATTGAGAGATACCCTTCCTATAGAGGCTTCGGGAAACCTGAGAATTACATTAGAATTTGCTGTTCCAGCGAAATCGAATAAAGTTATTATTTTATTCGGAATTACAACGGGAGTATTGAGAATTTATTCAGATAGGCGAGTTGTGTGTGATACAAGAGCATGAACTGCAAACAAATTAATACGGCATTGAACGATATGAAAGGTAGTAAAGCTAAATATATTGGATGCTATTTAGCGACGGATATATATAGAATAATGAAGCAAATACGGGACAGACCGATTATGTTTATAATAAATACCTTAGGAAGAGACTCTAAGGAAGTAATGGGTCACTGGATTGCTGTATATAAATCTAAACGGAAAATAGTTATACTCGATTCATATGGAATAAATGTGTATTCGCCATACATTTCGGAGTTTTTAAATTATTATAAAGACTGTGATGTATACACGTTTACAGAGCGACTTCAGAGTTTAAATACTTACGTATGCGGGCTATATGCGATGTTTTTCTGTTACCATCTTTCAAACAAGGATCTAAAAACTGCAATAAAGCTATTTGAAACTAGTTTTACTTATGGAGAATATATGCAGAATGATAGGAACGTAATGAGGCTATCTTATGCTTTATTTAAAAATATGCCGAGCTGCTATGAAACGCTGTGTTATGATAAGAGCGATATTTGTTGGAAAATGTGCTTGGAGACGACTGGCTGAATGAGGCTATAACACATTATCTAACGGAAAATGGTGAGTACATTTGTTTCGAGGTTTTATGTGTCCGATAAATATTGTACATGTGTAAACGCTATCTGAAACTGTTATTCTTTATTTACAGAGATGAAGAGTGAATAGGACGGATATTATACAAGCGGATTGAGGAGCGAGCTTCTTAGAACTTCGGGCTAAATGAATTGTTTATTATAAATTGTGTAAACTATGAATTAGATGACTAAATAAATTATAAATAAATAAATAAATAAGTTTTATTAACGCTTAATGTATATATATATATAAATTATTACGGTGGCGAACGCCGACAATGACTGGTAGATGTCTGGGGCAGGTAATCAGGTGATGATGGCCTCGGGCAGATAGCCTGGGGCAGGTAGCTGGGGCCAGCTTAGATAGTCTCTGAGGCAGTTTTCAGTATTAAAGGTTACATTGAGATGCTTCGGTTGATTTGTATAAAACTGACTGGTTAATGAAAAAGGAATAAAATATTAGTATGTCAGAAAATAGGAAGAGGGAATAATATGAAGAGGAGAGAGAGAGAGGAGGGAGAGAGAGAGAGAGAGGAGGGACGGTCCAGATATTACGGATAAGATAAGATAAGATTAAGAGCTGACTGGCTGGCTTGCTGGGCGCAAATTAAATAAAGGTGACGCGACAGATTGCGAGGTAAGGGGGGGAGGGAGGGAGGGGGGTGTGATGTACGAGACTTGAAAACAATGACTTATACAGATAACTTTCTAAATTTATATGAATAACTAAGGCTTACATAGACGATTTTGTAAGTTGAAAACATGTAAAATATGTCCGTAGAGTTCTCCTGGAAGCCCTAAAGTGCTACACACGTTATTTGAATTTCTCCCATAAGGCTTTAACAAACTTCTAAGTCTCGGAAATTATTATTTTTCTCATAAGAAATCCATACTTCTAAAATCTGTGACTGCCCAAATTCGCCTGAAAACCCTGGCTCACATAGATGATATTGGAACCTGAAACCCTTGGGGCGCACAGGGGATATTCTAAATTTACCTGAAACCCTTGGGGCGCACAGGGGATTTTTCTCCCAGAAAAAAAAATTCGTCTGTGTGGCGCCAACCCTACTACTGCGAGGAAGCCAAGATGGTGTCGTGGAGGGGAAGTGCAGGCGAGGAAGCCAAGATGGTGTCGTGGAGGGGAAGTGCAGGCGAAGAAGCCAAGATGGTATCGTGGAGGGGAAGTGCAGGCGAGGAAGCCAAGACTGTGTCGTGGAGGGGAAGTGCAGGCGAGGAAGCCAAGATGGTGTCGTGGAGGGGAAGTGCAGGCGAGGAAGCCAAGATGGTGTCGTGGAGGGGAAGTGCAGGCGAAGAAGCCAAGATGGTATCGTGGAGGGGAAGTGCAGGCGAGGAAGCCAAGACTGTGTCGTGGAGGGGAAGTGCAGGCGAGGAAGCCAAGATGGTGTCGTGGAGGGGAAGTGCAGGCGAGGAAGCCAAGACTGTGTCGTGGAGGGGAAGTGCAGGCGAGGAAGCCAAGATGGTGTCGTGGAGGGGAAGTGCAGTCGAGGAAGCCAAGACTGTGTCGTGGAGGGGAAGTGCAGGCGAGGAAGCCAAGATGGTGTCGTGGAGGGGAAGTGCAGGCGAGGAAGCCAAGACTGTGTCGTGGAGGGGAAGTGCAGTCGAGGAAGCCAAGATGGGGTCGTGGAGGGGAAGTGCAGGAGAGGAAGCCAAGATGGGGTCGTGGAGGGGAAGTGCTGGCGAGGAAGCCAAGATGGTGTCGTGGAGGGGAAGTGCAAGAGAGGAAGCCAAGATGGGGTCGTGGAGGGGAAGTGCAGGAGAGGAAGCCAAGATGGGGTCGTGGAGGGGAAGTGCTGGCGAGGAAGCCAAGATGGTGTCGTGGAGGGGAAGTGCAGGCGAGGAAGCCAAGATGGTGTCGTGGAGGGGAAGTGCAGGCGAGGAAGCCAAGATGGGGTCGTGGAGGGGAAGTGCAGGAGAGGAAGCCAAGATGGGGTCGTGGAGGGGAAGTGCAGGAGAGGAAGCCAAGATGGTGTCGTGGAGGGGAAGTGCAGGAGAGGAAGCCAAGATGGGGTCGTGGAGGGGAAGTGCAGGAGAGGAAGCCAAGATGGGGTCGTGGAGGGGAAGTGCTGGCGAGGAAGCCAAGATGGTGTCGTGGAGGGGAAGTGCAGGCGAGGAAGCCAAGATGGTGTCGTGGAGGGGAAGTGCAGGCGAGGAAGCCAAGATGGGGTCGTGGAGGGGAAGTGCAGGAGAGGAAGCCAAGATGGTGTCGTGGAGGGGAAGTGCAGGAGAGGAAGCCAAGATGGGGTCGTGGAGGGGAAGTGCAGGAGAGGAAGCCAAGATGGGGTCGTGGAGGGGAAGTGCAGGAGAGGAAGCCAAGATGGGGTCGTGGAGGGGAAGTGCAGGAGAGGAAGCCAAGATGGTATCGTGGAGGGGAAGTGCAGGCGAGGAAGCCAAGACTGTGTCGTGGAGGGGAAGTGCAGGCGAGGAAGCCAAGATGGTGTCGTGGAGGGGAAGTGCAGGCGAGGAAGCCAAGACTGTGTCGTGGAGGGGAAGTGCAGGCGAGGAAGCCAAGATGGTGTCGTGGAGGGGAAGTGCAGGCGAGGAAGCCAAGATGGTGTCGTGGAGGGGAAGTGCAGGCGAAGAAGCCAAGATGGTATCGTGGAGGGGAAGTGCAGGCGAGGAAGTCAAGACTGTGTCGTGGAGGGGAAGTGCAGGCGAGGAAGCCAAGATGGTGTCGTGGAGGGGAAGTGCAGGCGAGGAAGCCAAGACTGTGTCGTGGAGGGGAAGTGCAGGCGAGGAAGCCAAGATGGTGTCGTGGAGGGGAAGTGCAGTCGAGGAAGCCAAGATGGGGTCGTGGAGGGGAAGTGCAGGCGAGGAAGCCATGATGGGGTCGTGGAGGGGAAGTGCAGGAGAGGAAGCCAAGATGGGGTCGTGGAGGGGAAGTGCTGGCGAGGAAGCCAAGATGGTGTCGTGGAGGGGAAGTGCAGGAGAGGAAGCCAAGATGGGGTCGCGGAGGGGAAGTGCAGGAGAGGAAGCCAAGATGGGGTCGTGGAGGGGAAGTGCTGGCGAGGAAGCCAAGATGGGGTCGTGGAGGGGAAGTGCTGGCGAGGAAGCCAAGATGGTGTCGTGGAGGGGAAGTGCAGGCGAGGAAGCCAAGATGGTGTCGTGGAGGGGAAGTGCAGGCGAGGAAGCCAAGATGGGGTCGTGGAGGGGAAGTGCAGGAGAGGAAGCCAAGATGGGGTCGTGGAGGGGAAGTGCAGGAGAGGAAGCCAAGATGGTGTCGTGGAGGGGAAGTGCAGGAGAGGAAGCCAAGATGGGGTCGTGGAGGGGAAGTGCAGGAGAGGAAGCCAAGATGGGGTCGTGGAGGGGAAGTGCTGGCGAGGAAGCCAAGATGGTGTCGTGGAGGGGAAGTGCAGGCGAGGAAGCCAAGATGGTGTCGTGGAGGGGAAGTGCAGGCGAGGAAGCCAAGATGGGGTCGTGGAGGGGAAGTGCTGGCGAGGAAGCCAAGATGGTGTCGTGGAGGGGAAGTGCTGGCGAGGAAGCAAGGTTGGCTGGATTGGGTTTCGTAATTATGAGCGGTTTGTTTGATAATGGCGCTCACCACCTCACTCGTACTTGTATTATATCCGCTGTGGGTAAGACAGGCAGCCCTGCCGCACTGGGCACTTGTCTGCGTCTCGAACCATCACCCCAAGAGTGGTGTTGCTGTTTCCTGCAGACGATGAATCACAATAACGGGGCTGCAGATATGATGACCAAACAACACATCAGAAGACGAAGGGACGACGACGTTTCGGTCCGTCCTGGACCGTGAAAGAAGAGAGGAAGGTACAGGCAAGAAGAGAGGAAGGAACCGACAAATATAACATAAGGGATTAAGATGAGAGATGAAAAGCAGGTAAAAGAAAGGTAAGAATATGATGAATGCAAGAATAAGAGTAGGAGTAAAGGTAAGAATAAGAAAAGGGGTAGGAATAAGCAACAAGGACGAAGCTTAAATCAGGAACGTTTGTTAAGAAGGTTGGAGCATTAAGTGTATATGACGGGCTGTTGGGTATCAGAGCCGATTCAACAAGACGGCTTCAGTGAAGTGTAGAGGCAGGGAAAAATATTTTAGATGAAGACCAATCTATAGGATGATTAGAGTCCCTAACATGACAGAAGAGAGCATTGTTAGTGTCTGCAGACTTAACACTTCTTTTGTGTTCCTTAAGTCTGTCATTCAGTGTACGGCGAGTGTTGGAGAGGACAAGACGAACAGGAAATAGAGCAGACACCAACAGCATTAGAAGCAGGAGGAGCAGTGTGAACCATTACTACGATGAATGTTAGTTTGTCGAAAAGCGAGCTTTATTTCAAGAGGAGGAAGGGTATTAGTGAGATTTTTTTAGATTTAATTTAGCTTGAGAATAGGCACAGTTGATTAAATGTAAGGGGTAACCAAGGCGAGAGAAAGATTAGTAAATAAAAGACATTTCAGAATGATGAAACTGAGGGTCACTGATGCGTAGAGCGCGGAGGAATCGTGAGACGAGACACTTTTATAACAGAAGGAGGATGGTAGGAAAAGAAGTGAAAGTACATACCACTATCCATGGATTTGAGCAGACAGAGAATAAAAACCCGGACACAGAGCTGTGAACATGAACGTCAAGAAAATAATAGAGGGAATTAGATTCCCATTCTGCTTTGAAATTTAACACAAAAAACAGATTGTTAAGGGAGGTGAGGAAAAATCTAGGGTGACATATTTGCATTAGGCCAAAAAGCAAAAAGTCATCAACATAGAGAAGCGAAAGAAAGAGGGATGAGTATCAATAGAGGGAAGAAAAACGGTTTCGAAGTATTCCATACAAAGATTGGCAAGAACAGGGGAAAGAGGGGAAACCCACAGTGGCGTGGAAAGTTCAAGAGAAGTATTTTCCTTTGAAAGATAAGGAGTTAGAGTCAACACAAAGTCTGATGAGTTCGAGGAAAACGACAGTGAGAAGCGGAAGAGGAAGAAGGCCCTTAGTTGCCTTCTGACTTAAGAAAGATAGAACGACATCAAGGGGAACATTATTAAACAGAGAATCCACATCAAGACCAATCATCTTAGAGGGGGACTCCAGGTACAGTTTTTATATGACGTCTTGAGAGTGACGGAGGCGGGCAGAAGAAAAAGTACAACGATAAGGAGTGAGAGTTTTGGCAAGCCAGGAGGCAAGAGGATAGCCAACAGAGCACAGCTGTGCTGGTCCTGACCAAAGGGTGACTGTAAATAGAGCAAGTGTGTGGTGTTTCCCAAGTACTCAGTATAGGGAAAATGTGTTGTGTGGTTGAGTCCCCCTCCACTTTTCTTTGATTAACAGGGTATTAATAAGTAATTAACCATAGTGCGATTTTAAATACAGAGTTGATTTTTAAAGTTGGTTCATTTAAGTGATCGTTCCATAGCTGTGTTTGATAAGTCAAGCGTTTTATTCATTAAAATAAATTAAAGATTTCTGGGCTTAAAAATTATTTTTAATGATGTCCCAGTCATAATAATGAGTAATTTGTGCTTAATTATTTCCGAGTAAATTTGAGTTATGACATCACGGAAGATTGAGAGTCAGTGTCACCTCAGCCATGTGTCTCAGGCACATCTAGAAGGACTGGGAGACAGTGTCACCTCAGCCATGTGTCTCAGGCACATCTAGAAGGACTGAGAGACAGTGTCACCTCAGCCATGTGTCTCAGGCACATCTAGAAGGACTGGGAGACAGTGTCACCTCAGCCATGTGTCTCAGGCACATCTAGAAGGACTGGGAGACAGTGTCACCTCAGCCATGTGTCTCAGGCACATCTAGAAGGACTGGGAGACAGTATCACCTCAGCCATGTGTCTCAGGCACATCTAGAAGGACTGGGAGACAGTGTCACCTCAGCCATGTGTCTCAGGCACATCTAGAAGGACTGGGAGACAGTGTCACCTCAGCCATGTGTCTCAGGCACATCTAGAAGGACTGGGAGACAGTGTCACCTCAGCCATGTGTCTCAGGCACATCTAGAAGGACTGGGAGACAGCGTCACCTCAGCCATGTGTCTCAGGCACATCTAGAAGGACTGGGAGACAGTGTCACCTCAGCCATGTGTCTCAGGCACATCTAGAAGGACTCGGAGACAGTATCACCTCAGCCATGTGTCTCAGGCACATCTAGAAGGACTGAGAGACAGCGTCACCTCAGCCATGTGTCTCAGGCACATCTAGAAGGACTGGGAGACAGCGTCACCTCAGCCATGTGTCTCAGGCACATCTAGAAGGACTGAGAGACAGCGTCACCTCAGCCATGTGTCTCAGGCACATCTAGAAGGACTGAGAGACAGCGTCACCTCAGCCATGTGTCTCAGGCACATCTAGAAGGACTGGGAGACAGCGTCACCTCAGCCATGTGTCTCAGGCACATCTAGAAGGACTGGGAGACAGCGTCACCTCAGCCATGTGTCTCAGGCACATCTAGAAGGACTGGGAGACAGTGTCACCTCAGCCATGTGTCTCAGGCACATCTAGAAGGACTGAGAGACAGCGTCACCTCAGCCATGTGTCTCAGGCACATCTAGAAGGACTGGGAGACAGTGTCACCACAGCCATGTGTCACGATCAGACACATTTAGTTGAAGAGCAGAGGTGCAGAATCTGTGGTGAGAGTGACGGAGACCACCTTGACCACTACCTGAGAGAATGTGAACATCTAAGAGTCATTTTGAAATACGTGTAGCATAATAAATCCCACTCCGTTTGAGTAATGAAAATACTACTTGTCACATACAGATACTGTTCTTAAAAGATTCCCCCATTTTGTTCCCGCAAGATAACGTAAGATTTTAAGGGTTGACAAATGTTTATCTTCTTGTTTCACAAGCTGTTCACTTGAGACAGTTAAGCAAGTCCCAGCTGTGTCTGGGTACGAGAGACAGGATGAACAACCCAGTAGGGATTTCTTCCTATTGGGGGAGTGTTTTACATGCTGCTATGGCTGTGTGTCCACTCACAGGATGAGTGGCGCTGCCCAATACTGTCACTATGGTGGTGTGTCCACTCACAGGATGATTGACGCTGACCAATACTGTCACTATGGCGGTGTGTCCACTCACAGGATGAGTGGCGCTGCCCAATACTGTCACTATGGTGGTGTGTCCACTCACAGGATGATTGACGCTGTCCAATACTGTCACTATGGCGGTGTGTCCACTCACAGGATGATTGACGCTGTCCAATACTGTCGCTATGGCGGTGTGTCCACTCACAGGATGAGTGGCGCTGCCCAATACAGTCACTATGGCGGTGTGTCCACTCACAGGATGAGTGGCGCTGTCCAATACTGTCACTATGGCGGTGTGTCCACTCACAGGATGAGTGGCGCTGCCCAATACTGTCACTATGGCGGTGTGTCTACTCACAGGATGAGTGGCGCTGCCAAATACTGTCACTATGGCGGTGTATCCACTCACAGGATGAGTGGCGCTGTCCAATACTGTCACTATGGCGGTGTGTCCACTCACAGGATGAGTGGCGCTGACCAATACTGTCACTATGGCAGTGTGACCAGTCACAGGATGAGTGACGCTGCCCAATACTGTAACTATGGCAGTGTGGCCAGTCACAGGATGAGTGACGCTGCCCAATACTGTCACTATGGCAGTGTGGCCACTCACAGGATGAGTGGCGCTGTCCAATACTGTCACTATGGCAGTGTGGCCACTCACAGGATGAGTGGCGCTGCCCAATACTGTCACTATGGCAGTGTGGCCACTCACAGGATGAGTGACGCTGCCCAATACTGTCACTATGGCAGTGTGGCCACTCACAGGATGAGTGGCGCTGCCCAATATTGTCACTATGGCGGTGTGGCCACTCACAGGATGAGTGGCGCTGCCCAATACTGTCACTATGGCGGTGTGTCCACTCACAGGATGAGTGGTGCTGCCCAATACTGTCACTATGGCGGTGTGTCCACTCACAGGATGAGTGGTGCTGTCCAATACTGTCACTATGGCGGTGTGGCCACTCACAGGATGAGTGGTGCTGCCCAATACTGTCACTATGGCGGTGTGTCCACTCACAGGATGAGTGACGCTGCCCAATACTGTCACTATGGCGGTGTGTCCACTCACAGGTCGCGTGGCGCTGCCCAATACTGTCACTATGGCAGTGTGTCCACTCACAGGATGAGTGAAGCTGTCCAATACTGTCACTATGGCGGTGTGGCCACTCACAGGATGAGTGGTGCTGCCCAATACTGTCACTATGGCGGTGTGTCCACTCACAGGTCGCGTGGCGCTGCCCAATATACTCGCCCCTCGGGGCAAAACTTTAAGCAATTACACAGCAAGTGTCGTCACCTGTGAGTGTGTGTGTGTTAACTCGCTGCTTCACCTGCATAATTACCTCGTGATCACTCACCACGTGCGCTTGTCACGTGAGTAATCAAAGTACGCAGGTCAGTCTGCGGCCATTACTGCTGGTTGAGTCGTAGCCATAACAGGAAATCATCACTCATCAAGGCGATGAAGTTGACGTGTGCTGAGCTGTCAGCTTGAGGTAACAAGGTGTCAACACGTGTGTAAATGTCACTGGGGGAAGATCGGAATGTCGACCATACATGTGAAAACATGTGAAAATTATATCATTTGTCTGTTATCTCGTGTTTTGATTCTTTGGAGTCGACCATCAGGTTTGTGTGGGCTGGCAGTCTGATGACCACGGTAACGAGGTCATCTCACGGTAACTCTTACTTTCCCCAGTACCACTCTCACTTTTCCCAGTACCAGCCTCACTTTCCCCAGTACCACTCTCACTTTTCCCAGTACCAGCCTCACTTTCCCCAGTACCACTCTCACTTTTCCCAGTACCACTCTCACTTTTCCCAGTACCAGCCTCACTTTTCCCAGTACCACTCTCACTTTTCCCAGTACCACTCTCACTTTTCCCAGTACCACTCTTACTTTTCCCAGTACCACTCTTACTTTCCCTAGTACCACTCTCACTTTTCCCAGTACCACTCTCATTTTTCCCAGTACCACTCCTGCTTTTCCCAGTACCACTCTTACTTTCCCTAGTACCACTCTCACTTTTCCCAGTACCACTCTCACTTTTTCCCAGTACCACTCCTACTTTTCCCAGTACCACTCTTACTTTCCCTAGTACCACTCTCACTTTTCCCAGTACCACTCTCACTTTTCCCAGTACCACTCTCACTTTTCCCAGTACCACTCCTACTTTTGCCAGTACCACTCTTACTTTCCCTAGTACCACTCTCACTTTTCCCAGTACCACTCTTACTTTTCCCAGTACCACTCTTACTTTCCCTAGTACCACTCTCACTTTTCCCAGTACCACTCTCACTTTTCCCAGTACCACTCTCCCTTTTCCCAGTACCAATCTCACTTTTCCCAGTACCACTCTCACTTTTCCCAGTACCACTCTCACTTTTCCCAGTACCACTCATCACTTTTCCCAGTACCACTCTTACTTTTCCCAGTACCACTCTTACTTTTCCCAGTACCACTCTCACTTTTCCCAGTACCACTCTCACTTTTCCCAGTACCACTCTCACTTTTCCCAGTACCACTCTTACTTTTCCCAGTACCACTCTTACTTTCCCTAGTACCACTCTCACTTTTCCCAGTACCACTCTCATTTTTCCCAGTACCACTCCTGCTTTTCCCAGTACCACTCTTACTTTCCCTAGTACCACTCTCACTTTTCCCAGTACCACTCTCACTTTTTCCCAGTACCACTCCTACTTTTCCCAGTACCACTCTTACTTTCCCTAGTACCACTCTCACTTTTCCCAGTACCACTCTCACTTTTCCCAGTACCACTCTCACTTTTCCCAGTACCACTCCTACTTTTGCCAGTACCACTCTTACTTTCCCTAGTACCACTCTCACTTTTCCCAGTACCACTCTTACTTTTCCCAGTACCACTCTTACTTTCCCTAGTACCACTCTCACTTTTCCCAGTACCACTCTCACTTTTCCCAGTACCACTCCTACTTTTCCCAGTACCACTCTTACTTTCCCTAGTACCACTCTCACTTTTCCCAGTTCCACTCTTACTTTTCCCAGTACCACTCTTACTTTCCCTAGTACCACTCTCACTTTTCCCAGTACCACTCTCACTTTTCCCAGTACCACTCTTACTTTTCCCAGTACCACTCCTACTTTCCCTAGTACCACTCTCACTTTTCCCAGTACCACTCTCACTTTTCCCAGTACCACTCCTACTTTTCCCAGTACCACTCTTACATTCCCTAGTACCACTCTCACTTTTCCCAGTTCCACTCTCACTTTTCCCAGTACCACTCTTACTTTTCCCAGTACCACTCTTACTTTCCCTAGTACCACTCTCACTTTTCCCAGTACCCCTCTCACTTTTCCCAGTACCACTCTCACTTTTCCCAGTACCACTCTCACTTTTCTCTGTACCACACTCACTTTTCCCAGTACCACTCTCACTTTTCCCAGTACCACTCTCACTTTTCCCAGTACCACTCTCACTTTTCCCAGTACCACTCTCACTTTCCCCAGTACCACTCTCACTTTTCCCAGTACCACTCTCACTTTCCCCAGTACCACTCTCACTTTTCCCAGTACCACTCTCACTTTCCCCAGTACCACTCTCACTTTTCTCAGTACCACTCTCACTTTTCCCAGTACCACTCTCACTTTTCCCAGTACCACTCTCACTTTTCCCAGTACCAGCCTCACAGTTAACTTATACAACTTCCCTATTCACTTGAGGTATTTCGTGACACATCTCAAAGGTAAAAGTGCCCTTGCGATGATTTCGGGGCTCAACGTCCACGCGGTCCGGTCCTCGACCAGGCCCTAGAGCCTTACACGAAAAATCTAAATTTGATGTCGAGCCCCCAGCGTTCTCCGCCCTCTAGTGAGCTCCGTCAGGGCAGGACGCCGACGCCTGACCACAAGGTTACGACATAAAAGTGGAAGAGATTATATCCTGTAATTACCATCTCTGCCACTGGAGGGTTATTGTTTTCTGGTTAGCTCTTTCGGGACTTCAAAGTAGACTGTTGCGAGTGCCACCAGCAATTGCAGGTCTTCTGAGAAACTCTAAACCCTACAGTTATTCCAATGTTGATCATGTATAACAGGTAGTAAGTTCCCCCTCACAAGTCTGACCAACAACTATATTTAATTATTGTAGATGATTCTACTTTAAGTGCATTGTTATCGTTTGCTTATGACTCTGAGTCATATGCATTTACAACAGTGCTCGTTTTTGTGATATTAATATTATTCCTATGAGCCGAGCATTAGGTGAAAGGTGTTTGAGAGCAGTGTTGTCATCATACATCAGTATCAGGGGCCATATAGGCTAGTATCTAGTATCTAGAGGCTAGTATCAGGCTACATACCATCTTGTATTAACTATTACTCGCTTCAAAGAAAGTGAACATACTCTTATTTCTGCGTTGCAGTTTTCTTAAGTCTAACGGTGCATATATTGCAACACCCAAGTATATATTTATGTTACTGATCTTTTTCCTATGTCGGAAAAGATCTTTGATCTTTCGTGTAGCCAGCTGGCGTGAGGTGCACTTACAGTGACGTGTCTGTGTGTATGTTTCGCCTGAATTTACCTGAGGGCCACTAACACTGGTGACCTCAACGAGGACAGGAAGCCGGCGGATTGTCGAAGGTCTCCTCTATTTGCCTTGATAATCTTTTTCAGTTGAATTAATGGGATTCACAAGTGTTCAGTCAGGTGCAGATTCTCTGAGGTTCATATAACAGGAATTTGGTTTACCCGGGTGATTGTTGCTCAGACTCTGGTGTTCCCCTGGAGGTTTACCCGGGTGATTGTTGCTCAGACTCTGGTGTTCCCCTGGAGGTTTACCCGGGTGATTGTTGCTCAGACTCTGGTGTTCCCCTGGAGGTTTACCCGGGTGATTGTTGCTCAGACTCTGGTGTTCCCCTGGAGGTTTACCCGGGTGATTGTTGCTCAGACTCTGGTGTTCCCCTGGAGGTTTACCCGGGTGATTGTTGCTAAGACTCTGGTGTTCCCCTGGAGGTTTACCCGGGTGATTGTTGCTCAGACTCTGGTGTTCCCCTGGAGGTTTACCCGGGTGATTGTTGCTCAGACTCTGGTGTTCCCCTGGAGGTTTACCCGGGTGATTGTTGCTCAGACTCTGGTGTTCCCCTGGAGGTTTACCCGGGTGATTGTTGCTAAGACTCTGGTGTTCCCCTGGAGGTTTACCCGGGTGATTGTTGCTCAGACTCTGGTGTTCCCCTGGAGGTTTACCCGGGTGATTGTTGCTCAGACTCTGGTGTTCCCCTGGAGGTTTACCCGGGTGATTGTTGCTCAGACTCTGGTGTTCCCCTGGAGGTTTACCCGGGTGATTGTTGCTCAGACTCTGGTGTTCCCCTGGAGGTTTACCCGGGTGATTGTTGCTCAGACTCTGGTGTTCCCCTGGAGGTTTACCCTGGAGGTTTACCCGGGTGATTGTTGCTCGGACTCTGGTGTTCCCCTGGAGGTTTACCCTGAAGGTTTACCCGGGTGACTGTTGCTCGGACGCTGGTGTTCCCCTGGAGGTTTACCCTGAAGGTTTACCCGGGTGATTGTTGCTCGGACTCTGGTGTTCCCCTGGAGGTTTACCCGGGTGATTGTTGCTCGGACTCTGGTGTTCCCCTGGAGGTTTACCCGGGTGATTGTTGCTAAGACGCTGGTGTTCCCCTGGAGGTTTACCCAGGAGGTTTACCCTGGTGATTGTTGCTCAGACGCTGGTGTTCCCCTGGAGGTTTACCCTGGTGATTGTTGCTCAGACGCTGGTGTTCCCCTGGAGGTTTACCCGGGTGATTGTTGCTCAGACTCTGGTGTTCCCCTGGAGGTTTACCCTGGTGATTGTTGCTCAGACTCTGGTGTTCCCCTGGAGGTTTACCCTGGAGGTTTACCCGGGTGATTGTTGCTAAGACGCTGGTGTTCCCCTGGAGGTTTACCCTGATGATTGTTGCTCAGACGCTGGTGTTCCCCTGGAGGTTTATCCTGGAGGTTTACCCGGGTGATTGTTGCTCAGACTCTGGTGTTCCCCTGGAGGTTTACCCGGGTGATTGTTGCTAAGACGCTGGTGTTCCCCTGGAGGTTTACCCTGGTGATTGTTGCTCAGACTCTGGTGTTCCCCTGGAGGTTTACCCTGGAGGTTTACCCGGGTGATTGTTGCTCAGACTCTGGTGTTCCCCTGGAGGTTTACCCGGGTGATTGTTGCTAAGACGCTGGTGTTTCCCTGGAGGTTTACCCTGGAGGTTTACCCGGGTGATTGTTGCTCAGACGCTGGTGTTCCCCTGGAGGTTTACCCTGGAAGTTTACCCTGGTGATTGTTGCTCAGGTGCTGGTGTTCCCCTGGAGGTTTACCCGGGTGATTGTTGCTCAGACGCTGGTGTTCCCCTGGAGGTTTACCCAGGAGGTTTACCCGGGTGATTGTTGCTCGGACGCTGGTGTTCCCCTGGAGGTTTACCCGGGTGATTGTTGCTAAGACGCTGGTGTTCCCCTGGAGGTTTACCCTGGAGGTTTACCCGGGTGATTGTTGCTCAGACGCTGGTGTTCCCCTGGAGGTTTACCCTGGAAGTTTACCCTGGTGATTGTTGCTCAGATGCTGGTGTTCCCCTGGAGGTTTACCCGGGTGATTGTTGCTCAGACGCTGGTGTTCCCCTGGAGGTTTACCCAGGAGGTTTACCCGGGTGATTGTTGCTCGGACGCTGGTGTTCCCCTGGAGGTTTACCCGGGTGATTGTTGCTCGGACGCTGGTGTTCCCCTGGAGGTTTACCCGGGGGATTGTTGCTCAGACGCTGGTGTTCCCCTGGAGGTTTACCCTGGAGGTTTACCCGGGTGATTGTTGCTCAGACTCTGGTGTTCCCCTGGAGGTTTACCCTGAAGGTTTACCCGGGTGATTGTTGCTCGGACGCTGGTGTTCCCCTGGAGGTTTACCCTGAAGGTTTACCCGGGTGATTGTTGCTCGGACGCTGGTGTTCCCCTGGAGGTTTACCCGGGTGATTGTTGCTCAGACTCTGGTGTTCCCCTGGAGGTTTACCCTGGAGGTTTACCCGGGTGATTGTTGCTCAGACGCTGGTGTTCCCCTGGAGGTTTACCCTGAAGGTTTACCCGGGTGATTGTTGCTCGGACGCTGGTGTTCCCCTGGAGGTTTACCCGGGTGATTGTTGCTCAGACGCTGGTGTTCCCCTGGAGGTTTACCCTGGAGGTTTACCCGGGTGATTGTTGCTCAGACGCTGGTGTTCCCCTGGAGGTTTACCCTGAAGGTTTACCCGGGTGATTGTTGCTCGGACGCTGGTGTTCCCCCTGGAGGTTTACCCTGGAGGTTTACCCGGATCCGTGGGGTGTACCGGGAGATTATATAACTCCCTCCCTCTATCTAAAGCTAGCTTAAACCTGTCTCTCTACCTACCTACCTCACTCTCTCTCAACTTACATATCTTACGTCGTTAACTACATACATCTTTTACTTACATACTTTCTTCCCTACTTGCCTCTCTACCCGCCGACCTCCCTATACCAGCAGTGGTTCCCGGAATGACCCTCACCACGGACCAGTTGTCATGAGGCCCTCGGACCAGCCGCCCATATTCTGTGGTTGGCTTCTCCGTTTCTTCAGTCTGTTATAATTTTGTGTCGGTGCTCCAATATGGTCTTATTGGTCGATATTATATCCATTATGGTCGTCCAATATTTTTTTCCTTGTGTCGCTTCTATCCCGTTTCTCTCCGCATTTCCAAGGTATTCAATATTAAGTAACGGACTGCTGGTCACAGAAAAGTTGGCGTGTCTGCTTTCCCGATGATATGCAGAATGCTCTCCCGCGCGCTGTGGGCCAGACATGATTTCACTTCATACATAAGAACTTGGGGTTGTTGGGAAATAAACTTGGAAAATTGGTTTTCTGTGAACCTGAGCCGGTTCAGGTTCACAGGCCGACCGGGGAGCCGGTAGGCCGAGCGGACAGCACGCTGTACTTGTGATCCTGTGGTCTTGGGTTCGATCCCTGGCGCCGGCGAGAAACAATGGGCAGAGTTTCTTTCACCCTATGCCCCTGTTACCTAGCAGTAAAATAGGTACCTGGGTGTTAGTCAGCTGTCACGGGCTGCTTCCTGGGGGTGGAGGCATGGTCGAGGACCGGGCCGCGGGGACACTAAAAAGCCCCGAAATCATCTCAAGATAATTTCAAGATAATCTGTTCGGGGAGCAATTACTTGAGTGGAAGGAAGAAAGGGTGGGAAGGAAGATAGGGAGGTGACGGAGGGAAACAAGAGAGAGAGAGAGAGAGAGAGAGAGAGAGACGATGTCGACGCCATCTTTTGAGCGCACCCGACCCCAATTTTTTCCCCCGGTGGAAGGCTGTGATCTCATTGATACCTGTGTAGTTTCCTTCTCACTATTCATCTTTTACTCCCCAGAAGTGATGTGGGTGATACTTTGGTCGACAGGAATCAGTTCACCAATGGCGGTCCTGTACTCAAGACTTGTTCCAGTGGGAACAAGTGGCCGAGTCAGCGCACATTGTGATTTGTCTGTGATACTTAGTGAAGTATTGGTGATTGGTCCGACGTACCCCGGGGTGGTCCAGTTAAGTTACGGAATTAATGTCCGTCTGTTAAGGTTTGTTATAACTGAAGCTTGTGTGGGTGCCTGCCAGTGTGTTGCTGGAGACCCCTGCCAGTGTGTTGCTGGAGACCCCTGCCAGTGTGTTGCTGGAAACCCCTGCCAGTGTGTTGCTGGAGACCCCTGCCAGTGTGTTGCTGGAGACCCCTGCCAGTGTGGTGCTGGAGACCCCTGCCAGTGTGTTGCTGGAGACCCCTGCCAGTGTGTTGCTGGAGACCCCTGCCAGTGTGGTGCTGGAGACCCCTGCCAGTGTGGTGCTGGAGACCCCTGCCAGTGTGTTGCTGGAGACCCCTGCCAGTGTGTTGCTGGAGACCCTTGCCCGTGTGTTGCTGGAGACCCCTGCCAGTGTGTTGCTGGAGACCCCTGCCAGTGTGTTGCTGGAGACCCCTGCCCGTGTGTTGCTGGAGACCCCTGCCAGTGTGTTGCTGGAGACCCCTGCCCGTGTGTTGCTGGAGACCCCTGCCAGTGTGTTGCTGGAGACCCCTGCCCGTGTGTTGCTGGAGACCCCTGCCAGTGTGTTGCTGGAGACCCCTGCCAGAGTGTTGTTGGAGACCCCTGCCAGTGTATTGTTGGAGACCCCTGCCAGTGTGTTGCTGGAGACCCCTGCCAGTGTGGTGCTGGAGACCCCTGCCAGTGTGGTGCTGGAGACCCCTGCCAGTGTGTTGTTGGAGACCCCTGCCAGTGTGGTGCTGGAGACCCCTGCCAGTGTGGTGCTGGAGACCCCTGCCAGTGTGTTGCTGGAGACCCCTGCCAGTGTGGTGCTGGAGACCCCTGCCAGTGTGGTGCTGGAGACCCCTGCCAGTGTGTTGCTGGAGACCCCTGCCAGTGTGTTGCTGGAGACCCCTGCCAGTGTGTTGCTGGAGACCCCTGCCAGTGTGTTGCTGGAGACCCCTGCCAGTGTGTTCTTGGAGACCCCTGCCAGTGTGTTGTTGGAGACCCCTGCCAGTGTGTTCTTGGAGACCCCTTCCAGTGTGTTGTTGGAGACCCCTGCCAGTGTATTGTTGGAGTTCCCTACCAGTGTGTTGTTGGAGACCCCTGCCAGTGTGTTGTTGGAGACCCCTGCCAGTGTGTTGTTGGAGACCCCTGCCAGTGTGTTGCTGGAGACCCCTGCCAGTGTGTTGCTGGAGACCCCTGCCAGTGTGTTGTTGGAGACCCTTGCCAGTGTGTTGTTGGAGACCCCTTCCAGTGTGTTGTTGGAGACCCTTGCCAGTGTGTTGTTGGAGACCCCTGCCAGTGTGTTGCGGGAGACCCCTGCCAGTGTGTTGCTGGAGACCCCTGCCAGTGTGTTGTTGGAGACCCCTGCCAGTGTGTTGTTGGAGACCCCTGCCAGTGTGTTGCGGGAGACCCCTGCCAGTGTGTTGCTGGAGACCCCTGCCAGTGTGTTGTTGGAGACCCTTGCCAGTGTGTTGTTGGAGACCCCTGCCAGTGTGTTGTTGGTTCCCTACCAGTGTGTTGTTGGAGACCCCTGCCAGTGTGTTGCTGGAGGCCCCTGCCAGTGTGTTGTTGGAGACCCCTGCCAGTGTGTTGTTGGAGACCCCTGCCAGTGTGTTGTTGGAGACCCCTGCCAGTGTGTTGTTGGAGACCCCTGCCAGTGTGTTGTTGGAGACCCCTGCCAGTGTGTTGCGGGAGACCCCTGCCAGTGTGTTGGGGGAGACCCCTGCCAGTGTGTTGCTGGAGACCCCTGCCAGTGTGTTGCTGGAGACCCCTGCCAGTGTGTTGCGGGAGACCCCTGCCAGTGTGTTGCTGGAGACCCCTGCCAGTGTGTTGTTGGAGACCCCTGCCAGTGTGTTGCGGGAGACCCCTGCCAGTGTGTTGCTGGAGACCCCTGCCAGTGTGTTGTTGGAGACCCCTGCCAGTGTGTTGTTGGAGACCCCTGCCAGTGTGTTGTTGGAGACCCCTGCCAGTGTGTTGTTGGAGACCCCTGCCAGTGTGTTGTTGGAGACCCCTGCCAGTGTGTTGTTGGAGACCCCTGCCAGTGTGTTGTTGGAGACCCCTGCCAGTGTGTTGCTGGAGACCCCTGCCAGTGTGTTGCTGAAGACCCCTGCCAGTGTGGTGCTGGAGACCCCTGCCAATGTGTTGCTGGAGACCCCTGCCAGTGTGGTGCTGGAGACCCCTGCCAGTGTGTTGCTGGAGACCGCTGCCAATGTGTTGCTGGAGACCCCTGCCAGTGTGGTGCTGGAGACCCCTGCCAGTGTGTTGCTGGAGACCCCTGCAAGTGTGTTGCTGGGGACCCCTGCCAGTGTGTTGCTGGAGACCCCTGCCAGTGTGTTGCTGGAGACCCCTGCCAGTGTGGTGCTGGAGACCCCTGCCAGTGTGTTGCTGGAGACCCCTGCCAGTGTGTTGCTGGAGACCCCTGCCAGTGTGTTGCTGGAGACCCCTGCCAGTGTGTTGCTGGAGACCCCTGCCAGTGTGTTGTTGGAGACCCCTGCCAGTGTGTTGCTGGAGACCCCTGCCAGCGTGGTGCCGGAGACCCCTGCCAGTGTGTTGCTGGAGACCCCTGCCAGTGTGTTGCTGAAGACCCCTGCCAGTGTGGTGCTGGAGACCCCTGCCAATGTGTTGCTGGAGACCCCTGCCAGTGTGGTGCTGCAGACCCCTGCCAGTGTGTTGCTGGAGACCCCTGCCAATGTGTTGCTGGAGACCCCTGCCAGTGTGTTGCTGGAGACCCCTGCCAGTGTGTTGCTGGAGACCCCTGCCAGTGTGTTGCTGGGGACCCCTGCCAGTGTGTTGCTGGAGACCCCTGCCAGTGTGTTGCTGGAGACCCCTGCCAGTGTGGTGCTGGAGACCCCTGCCAATGTGTTGCTGGAGACCCCTGCCAGTGTGGTGCTGGAGACCCCTGCCAGTGTGTTGCTGGAGACCCCTGCCAATGTGTTGCTGGAGACCCCTGCCAGTGTGTTGCTGGAGACCCCTGCCAGTGTGTTGCTGGAGACCCCTGCCAAAGTGTTGCTGGAGACCCCTGCCAGTGTGGTGCTGGAGACCCCTGCCAGTGTGGTGCTGGAGACCCCTGCCAGTGTGGTGCTGGAGACCCCTGCCAATGTGTTGCTGGAGACCTCTGCCAGTGTGTTGCTGGAGACCCCTGCCAGTGTGTTGCTGGAGACCCCTGCCAGTGTGTTGCTGGAGACCCCTGCCAGTGTGTTGCTGGAGACCCCTGCCAGTGTGTTGCTGGAGACCCCTGCCAGTGTGTTGCTGGAGACCCCTGCCTGTGTGTTGCTGGAGACCCCTGCCTGTGTGTTGCTGGAGACCCCTGCCAGTGTGGTGCTGGAGACCCCTGCCTGTGTGTTGCTGGAGACCCCTGCCAGTGTGTTGCTGGAGACCCCTGCCAGTGTGGTGCTGGAGACCCCTGCCAGTGTGTTGCTGGAGACCCCTGCCAGTGTGGTGCTGGAGACCCCTGCCAATGTGTTGCTGGAGACCCCTGCCAGTGTGTTGCTGGAGACCCCTGCCAGTGTGTTGCTGGAGACCCCTGCCAGTTTGTTGCTGGAGACCCCTGCCAGTGTGTTGCTGGAGACCCCTGCCAGTGTGTTGCTGGAGACCCCTGCCAGTGTGGTGCTGGAGACCCCTGCCTGTGTGTTGCTGGAGACCCCTGCCAGTGTGTTGCTGGAGACCCCTGCCAGTGTGTTGCTGGAGACCCCTGCCAGTGTGGTGCTGGAGACCCCTGCCAGTGTGTTGCTGGAGACCCCTGCCAATGTGTTGCTGGAGACCCCTGCCAGTGTGGTGCTGGAGACCCCTACCAGTGTGTTGCTAGAGACCCCTGCCAGTGTGGTGCTGGAGACCCCTGCCAGTGTGTTGCTGGAGACCCCTGCCAGTGTGTTGCTGGAAACCCCTGCCCGTGTGTTGCTGGAGACCCCTGCCAGTGTGGTGCTGGAGACCCCTGCCAGTGTGTTGCTGGAGACCTCTGCCAGTGTGGTGCTGGAGACCCCTGCCAGTGTGTTGCTGGAGACCTCTACCAGTGTGTTGCTGGAGACCCCTGCCAGTGTGTTGCTGGAGACCTCTGCCAGTGTGTTGCTGGAGACCCCTGCCAGTGTGTTGCTGGAGACCCCTGCCAGTGTGTTGCTGGAGACCCCTGCCAGTGTGTTGCTGAAGACCCCTGCCAGTGTGTTGCTGGAGACCCCTGCCAGTGTGTTGTTGGAGACCCCTGCCAGTGTGTTGCTGGAGACCCCTGCCAGCGTGTTGCTGGAGACCCCTGCCAGTGTGTTGCTGGAGACCCCTGCCAGTGTGTTGCTGGAGACCCCTGCCAGTGTGTTGCTGGAGACCCCTGCCAGTGTGTTGCTGGAGACCCCTGCCAGTGTGTTGCTGGAGACCCCTGCCAGTGTGTTGCTGGAGACCGCTGCCAATGTGTTGCTGGAGACCCCTGCCAGTGTGTTGCTGGAGACCCCTGCCAGTGTGTTGCTGGAGACCCCTGCTAGTGTGTTGCTGGAGACCCCTGCCAGTGTGTTGCTGGAGACCCCTGCCAGTGTGTTGCTGGAGACCCCTGCCAGTGTGGTGCTGGAGACCCCTGCCAGTGTGTTGCTGGAGACCCCTGCCAGTGTGTTGCTGGAGACCCCTGCCAGTGTGTTGCTGGAGACCCCTGCCAGTGTGTTGCTGGAGACCCCTGCCAGTGTGTTGCTGGAGACCCCTGCCAGTGTGTTGCTGGAGACCCCTGCCAGCGTGTTGCTGGAGACCCCTGCCAGTGTGTTGCTGGAGACCCCTGCCAGTGTGTTGCTGGAGAACCCTGCCAGTGTGTTGCTGGAGACCCCTGCCAGTGTGTTGCTGGAGACCCCTGCCAGTGTGTTGCTGGAGACCCCTGC